TACACAATTTCTCGGACTTAAGATCCAGATGTTGCCCAAAATAACAAAATTATTAAGAATGCACACAAATGCCGGACGGAGAGGAGGCGAAATTGCTTGCGGCTTGTCTGCATTCAAAATTGGCCCGAGTGTGGATTGCAAAAGTGACCAATTTTATTTGCCAACATACTATATTATGTGGCATGTTGCTGGCAGGAAGTGGGCTGGCTGCCCGTCCGTTTACTGTTCCAATGACCTTTCGACATGAGCAACTCAAGCGGATGGAGGCAGCCAGCCAGAAAGCAACGAAAAGTGGCACAGTACAAAAAAAAAAAAAATGCCAACAAAGCTGCGAATGGAGTTTAGACTTCCTTATACCATGTACTTACTTAAGTATCTACGTTTTGGAATAGTTTTAACATGTTCTTCTAATCATTTTAAACTAAACTAAAATCCAGAAGATTTATAATTAGTCAGAAGCACCTAATAAGATATATTTCAACGTATCAAAACTAACCACAGTTCCAGAAGACCCGCATCCTTGGGTCACAAAACAGCTCTACAACATAAACGGCGACCTTTGACTGCCATAGACGATGGTTGGAGGGTGGCGGGCGGTTTTAAGTGGGTGGGGCTTCTCTATTCATTTGGCCCGGCGACTGGGCGCTCTGCGTTGATTTCCGTTTGCTGCATGTAAGAGTGCAACTTGAGCCGGCACTTGCACTCACTTGAGAGTGTGTGGGTGGGTGCGGATGGGTGGCATGTGTAAGTGTGAGTGTGGATGTGGAAAACTAAACTGTTGCCATGTGACAAGTGGCAGCTTGACGACAACAACACAGCTACAGCAACATCAACGTCAGCATCAATGACGCTCGGTGCGCACTTTGCCGCAAACAAAACGGGGCAGCAAAGGCAACATGCACCTGCTGCAGAGGCAAGGATCCAGGCTGCAGGGGCCAGGAGAAGAAAAGTGACGAGGACCATGAGAAGGACTTGACTCACTGTTGTTGTTTCAAGTTAAAAACTGCAGAAAGCGCACTCAAAAATTGCCACAAAAAGGCTGCAGCAGCAGCAGCAGCAGCAGTAGCAGCAGCCACCCATTTTAGCACTCAAGTAATGAGTCGCCGTCTAGTGCTGTTTAACCCATGCCACCAAACGCGGCAGACAGTTGCAGTCAAGGGGGTTAAGTGTTGGAATTTAATACACAATGCAGGCAGTCACCTGTGCGAATGTTTATTGAACCCGTCAACGGCGCCGTGGAGTCAAAGTTGAAGCCAAAGGGCAAACATGTACACAAAAGTCAGAAAAAGGAATCATTTAACACGAAAATCGGATTATGAAGCTCATACGGACAAAGTCAATATCCTTGTACTTATTGAGCGAAGCGTTGAAGACACCACTTCGATTTGGTGAATTGTCAATGCAACAAAACAACAATTGAAAATCATTTGAAACCTTTCAAATGTCATACAAAAGAAATTGATTTCTTCACTTCGTTTTCTCTTCATCTTTTTGCTGGCTAAGGCATTGCCTCTCGCTCGGTTGCCATGCGATTGGATTTAAATTTACACCAGGACACTTGGCAGAGAGTAAGGCATTGACGTCATCATCATTGTGACATCTTGGTCAAGTGTTCTGAATAAAATATGCATGGCCAAAACGGAGCATCTATATCGGAACCATATACATATACAATTGAACATTCCTCGAGGATATATACGAGTATACCAACTTCAGGGCACTTGCCCTGAAAAGTAGGGTCCCAGGTTAACCTGCTTAAGAATAATGATCTCTTCATTCGCTCAAAAAAGTAGCTGGCCCACCTTTGACCCCTTTGGATACTTTTAGGGCCACTTCCAGCACATTAACCCTCGAACGGGCTTAACTAATTCCCTTTCGACTCGGCAATTCAATTAGCAGTAAGTCCATGGACACACAAACACACCCACACACTCACACACTCAAACCATCCAAAAAAAAAGGACGTTTTAATCGAATTTATGTTGGGACACAAAGGGCCGGGAGGACAGTTAATAGTTCTGCCTTTGGGCCAACAAAAGGCTTACCTCAAGCCAAGCCAGCTAGCCAACCGTGGGCGGATTTATCTATTCTATTTTGTAATTTTTAATTTCACAACTAATGCGATTATTCACGGCTGACGGACCAGGCTGGCAATAAAAATGGCCAGTGTGTAAGCCACGTTTAACACTCGGTTTATTTTTAGTTAGCCAAACGCTTTCTCTTCCATTCGCCCATCCTGGTCCTTTCTCTGCAAATACGCCAAAACTATTCGCACACGAGCTAGCTCTAAGCTCAAACTTTAAGCCCTCCAATTGCTGCCAAAAAAAAAGAGGTTCTGCGATTTTTATACGAAGATTTGACACCCTTTCCTGGGTTGGAAAACTTAAACTGGCACTGGAACTAACAACAAAACAACAATTTTCATTGAAATAGAATTGAACTAGAATATATTTTACTAAATTTTATTACCAATTTCAATTCTGTTAGAGAACCCAAAAAGATCCAGTGCAGCCAACTTACCATGTGTAAGTCCATTTGCGTGGGCGGAGAAATTGTCACCAAGTGCAGCGAGGCGTGCAAATCTCATGGAAAGCTGTGAAAAAATTGCAAAAGTCCGGCATAAACAGAACTCATCTGGGAGTCAAGTCGTATTCATTGTCTTTGGGACTGGGACTTAAAGCTCTGCGGCGTGCCCATTCTCGGTTATGAGCGCTTAAAGTCGTCCATCCCGCGCTTAACATTTAATTAAAAATTTTGTAATTACCGCCTGGGAAGTGGGTTTGTCTTGCTCTGCTCCGCTTTACAGTTTCCTTTGCCGCCAGCCAAAGATGCAGCTGTCTCGGCATCCTTGCTCCTTGGCCCCTTGTTCCCTTGTTCCCTGGCACACTTGCATCTCCAAGGATGTGAACCCACTTCTTTGTTCGTCTTGGAGGAGCGATTCACACCCCAGTGGCTGGAAAGAAGATGGCTCCTTACTGTTATTGCAATGAACTTGGCAGCTGCCTCGCCTGCTCTCCATTTCAACCTAATTGATAAATGTAAACTCCTTAGTGGTTCCATGGCCCGAAACGAACCTGCAACCTGGTCGGTCATTGTCGTTAGCAGAACTCCAAGATTTCGGCCATTAATTTGTTGCATTGTCTTGGGAAGACGAAGTCCCGGCCCAAGTTGCAGCAAATCCTTCTCAGTTTTGTGCTATGATCCCTGCCAGCCCTTCGCATTTTACGCATTTTTCGAGAAATTCCATTGTATTTCTGCACGTGCCAAAATGTATGTGGGTGGGTTTCTGGGTGTGGGTGGGCGTGGCATCAAAGTGCATGCAAAATACGTGACATGCATATTGAAGTCACTTACTATTTATTTTTATTACGCAAAGCAGCCAGAACTTTTTACACATATTTTTTCCTTAGTTTTCCTTTTGTTGCGGCAACTTTCACGGAAAGGTAGGAAAAAGTATACTGGATGAAGGGGAAGCTGGGGAAACTTCACCAACTCCACATGACATGTTAAATAAATGGCAGTGAGTGTCTGTGAGGAAAGCATGAGTAACCTTCAGTGAAACTTGGCTCTATTGAAGGTTAAATGTATGTATTTTTCGGCTCATTAAAATTTTAAAGTCCAAAAATGCAGTCTGCATGGCAGGAACAATATTTTGTACATATTTTTTAATTTTTGTACAAAAGTAAATTGAGAATTTAAGCTTTATAATTAAGAGCTCGAATTTATCAATTCCCAAAAATAAAGCTTCGATTTCCTCCCTCACAGGCAGTTTCAATATTTGTTTTCAATTCGAATTCTGCCTTCCATTTTATTGAAATGAACAAGATTTTTCCTAGAGGATGTGCAGTTTTTCATTTTAACAATGCCTGTATTCCACTATTTTCATTTTTCAGGCTGACCTGTAAATTCTGCAACTGCCAAACAAGCCAAAAATATTTGGGAATGGACTTTTCATAGGCCTAATTAGCGTTGTAGCACCGACAACTATCTGAAACCAACATAATCAAATTTCCAGCCAAACAGGGGCCATGGAAAATGGGAAATTTTCATTAAACATCAAAAATTGATGGGCTGAGAAATAGCAAAATAGCATCGCAATTATGCAGCAGGACTTGACAGGAATGGAAGCGACAGGCTGGGTCAGTCGAGGACACAGTTTAGCACCTAGCTGCGACCATAAAAATTTGTAATTTTCCCAACACATATTTCCTTTTTGGCAACCGGCCAAAGTATGCAGTGTGAAAAGAAAGAGAGTAGGAAAATAAAAATAAAAGCGGAAAAAACAGAAAAAAAGAAAATGTTTCAGGCCGTAAATAACCAAAGTAAACAACGCGACAAGCGGTTTGGCGGGAAAAGTGGGGGGATTGGTGAAAAAGGGCAGACAAAGTCCCGGCCGCAAAAGCCAAAACTCACTGCGAATGTGAATATTCTTGGAATTTTCATTTGTTGTCTAGAGTTGCATGGGGTTGCATAGTTAGGAATGTCTTTCCCCCAAAAAACATAACAGAACCCAACCGAACACAGCCAAACCCTGCCAAACCAACCTCCTCCCCTACTGTCAACGCAATTTGTCGCTTTGTGTTGCTCTTGCCGCTGCAGTTGTCGCTTCATTTTTGCAGCAAAAGTGTTGCAAAATATGTTGACAGGAAATGTTATGCGAATTTTGCTGCGTATAAAATGAAATTTACGTGGTGTTCTATTCTTTGTGTTTAGTTTTTCCCAACAGAAGCTTTCGGTATTTGTTTGCCCTTTAAAATCAGTTAAAAACCCAACGAGCACTCGATCATTGCCAGTGAAAAACAGAAATAAATCATAGCGCTCAATCTCGATCGGATGTTGTTATAGTTCTCAATTAAATGCACGACAGATCGCATATCCATTGGGTTTATATTGTAACCAGTAACCAGTTCCCGGTAGTTAATAAGCCAGCTAGATACAGATAAGCTTCTCCACACAAATTACCCTCTCGCCAGTCTCTATAAAATTCCGAACGGCTTTTCTCGAGCTAACAGTTTATTACGAGCGATAGGAAGGTTCATGTCCATATTTATCTTGAAGCAGATTCTGCGAATTCTTAGATAATGTTCAAACTAGGGGTCTTACTAGCCTTGTCAGTCACTGTGGTTGTCAGCCAGGTAAGTCATCAAAACTGGTTTAACAAGCAGATATTATAAAGTCTGCTTTTACAGAGTCTTTCTGTACTGGAAGATACAAATAATGTGATGGAATGTCTAACCAACAACAATATCAGCGAGACCGAGTTCAAGGAGCTGATAGACCGCAGCACCTCTGTAGAAGATGAGCTTGAGAACACCGACAGGAGATACAAGTGCTTTGTCCATTGCCTGGCTCAGAAGGGAATCTACTGGACTCCAATGGCTACTTGGATGTGGAGATGGTTGATCAGATGGAACCTTTGAGCGAGGAACTTCGAGAGGTTCTCTATGACTGCAAGAAGATCCATGACGGAGAAGATGATATGTGCGAGTATGCATTTCTGATGGTGACTTGTCTGACCGAAAGCTTAGAGCAAAGCGGTGAAGTCACACAAAATACAAACAAATTAAATGAATAATCGAGCAAAAAACAGGTTAAGCAACCTAAACGCAATTGTTTTAAGCCAGTGGGAAATTCACAAGCAACTGTTTAGTTTCATTTCAACAATGTTCACCTACAGACTTGTATTTGTTGGACCTCTGATTTTGGTTTTGATCAGCTCAGCTAAGGTGGGATGGCATTAGATACCATTACCAATTCTGGGAATTTTACCAATATTTTTATAGGCTCGCCATCCGTTTGATATATTTCATTGGAACTCAAAAGACTTCGATGAGTGTCTAGACTTCAATAATATTTCCATTGCGGAATATGAGAAGTACGCGCGGTTCGAGACTCTGGACTACCTGCTCAACGAGAAAGTGAACTTTAACTACAAATGCAATATCAAATGCCAGCTGGAAAGGGACTCAACTAAATGGCTAAATGACCAAGGCAGAATGGATCTCCAGCTGATGAATACCTCTAAGGTGGCTTCTGAATCTATAACGAAATGCATGGATCAGGCTTCCGAAGAACCGTGTGCCTACAGTTTTAAGCTGGTTATCTGTGCCTTTAAGGCCGGCCATCCTACTACTGACTCAGAATAATTCGATCCAACTTTTAAATGTGGAAGCAACAGCTGTTTCGGATGATTGACGTAGAATCCCACGGAAATGGAAGTGAATAACAACTAGCTGCTGATCAAATTAAATCTAAAACTGGTTTATCAACATTGCTTACAGCATGTGGGAAGCTCTACTGTTCAGTTTAATTTTAAAATGTTAAGCATCAGACTAAAACTTTGCATGATTTTAATCTTGGCCTTGAATATTCAAGGTAAGGTTGGTAATTAAAATTATTATTAAGAATTATTTATTTATTTTGACTTTTTAGGCTGGCCACCCTTTTGACTTTTTTAACGAAAGCCTTGAAGACTTTGACGATTGCCTAAAAATGAATAATATTTCCAATGAAGAGTATGAAGAGTTTGAAGAATTTAAGAACTTAAAGAACCTCCTCAGCGAGAATGTGGAAGAAAGGTTCAAGTGCAATATAAAATGTCAGCTAGAAAGGCAACCAAAAAGATGGTTAAATCGTATGGGTAAAATGGATCTGGAATTGATGAATGCAACCAAAGAGGCATCCGAAGACATTGCCAACTGCATGGACGAGGCTTCAGATGAATCTTGTGCCTACAGCTTCAAATTGGTGATCTGCGCTTTTAAGGCCGGTCACCCACCAACAGATTTCTAATGAAAACTAACTTTTACCTATTACTAATAATATCGAGAAAATCCAGAAGTTACACTTTTTCCGAGCTGACATGCTAATCATTTCTGAAAACAGTAACTACTTAAGTGATTAATATTTAATAATACTTGGAATATATAGGAAATGTATGGGGAAAACACCTTATCAGTAGACAACCTAAATTAGCATGTGTAATCTTTCTTAACTAGTTCACTTAAGCTAAAGCAATTGTTTTAAATAAAAGGGAAGTTTACAGAAGACCTTTCAGTTTGATTTTAACAATGGTTATCAACGGTCGTTACATCCTAGCCCTTCTGGTCTTGGTCTTGATCAGCCAAGCTAAGGTGGGATAATTTAAGATTGTCTATATCAATACTATAAAATTTCTTTCAGGCTGATCCACATCCCTTTGACTTATTAGATACTTCTTTGGACTTCTTTACTGATTGTCTGGAAATGCATAATGTTACCATTGATGAGTATGAAAAGTTTAAATCCGCCGACAATTTGGAAAACGTCTTGAACGTTAAGGGCGAAATGAAGTTCAAGTGCAACATAAAATGTCAGCTGGATAGAGGATCACCAACATTGTTGGATGAGATGGGTCAATTTAATGTAGACTTGTTGAATGCCACCACTGAGGAAGCTGAATACATTGTAAAGTGCATGGATAAGGCTTCCGAGGAGCCCTGCGAGTATGCCGTACAACTCTTAATCTGTACCTTTGAAGCCGGTTATACCATCTACGACTTTAACAACTCCGAGGAAGAATCTACTGAAGCAGTCACGGAAGAGCAGGAGGCACGGGACGAATCCGAAGCTAAGGTGGGATATTTTAAGATTATCTATATCAATACTATAAATTCCTTTCAGGCTACTCCCCATCCCCTTGACTTATTAGAGGTAACCGATGATGATTTTAGTGATTGTCTAAGACTTCATAATGTTAGCATTGATGAATATGAAAAGTTCAAAAGCGCCGATAGTTTGGAAAACGGTCTGAGCATAAAGGCCGAAGTGAATTTCAAGTGCAATATAAAATGTCAGCTGGATAGAGGATCACCAACATTGTTGGATGAGATGGGTCAATTTAATGTAGACTCGTTGAATGCCACCACTGAGAAAGCTGAATACATTGTAAAGTGCATGGATAAGGCTTCCGAGGAGCCCTGCGAGTATGCCGTCCAACTATTAATCTGCTCCTTTGAAGCCGGTTTGACCTTCTACGACTTTAACAACTCAGAGGAAGAATCTACTGAACAAGCCACGGAAGAGTAGGTGGCACTGGACGAATCCGATGCCATCAATGTATAAAATTAACCCAGTGGTCACTATATTTGGTTTAGGGCAATAAATATTAATTTTAATTTGCGCACTTACTAGCATAATTAAATGGGATTGCAATAGAGGCGTGCCACGGGGCGTTCGAATCAAATCAAATCGAGACGATTCGAATGGAATCCAAATCCAATTAATTGCTTTGGCCTGGAATCACGCAGCAGGTTAGCACATAACGCAAATAATTGATTTGTCGCACATCAGGTGGATATACGCTGTAAGTAGGGTTTTGGCCATATTTATCGGGTGCTGCACCTCCGATTTGCCAGATGTGTGTGTGTGTGTGGGGTGGGACACGGTGGCTGTACGTTCTTTTGTCGTTTCTGAAGCAGGAAAAAACATTTTCCCCCGCACAATGCGATTCCGTTACAGTTTTCCACGGGGCGTATGAGTGTTTGTTTGTGTGCGACTTTTTGTCGCTTTCCTTTGTGCCAGCAGGCGAATGCAACGGAAGTTGTCATGTTGCATTGTTGCAGCTGCTGTTGATGCCGCTGCCATTGTTATGTTGCAAGGAATGGGCCGTTGGGGATCGGGGATCAGGGATCGGCTGAAAGAAAAGACGAACGTGCAACGCCCACACACTTGACTGGCCCGCTCTGCCACCTCTCGGCTTTCGATTGTCAGCTCAACTTCACGCCGCCGTGGGGCGTGGCACATTAGTGGCAACAGCACGGCAATACAAAAAAACAGAAAGAAACAGAAAAAAAAAACCCAGAGAACAGAAAAACCAGCGAATACATGATTGTCAACACGCACACTCCCATCGACCGGGGCAGCGACAACACGGCGTATGAGTAATATGTCTGGCTGCCTCGCTGGCGGTGCTGCCTGCACCATGTCAACATGCAAAACAACAATGGGGCGGAAGTGCATTGTAAACGTACCGTGCACTGTGCACCCCAAAAGCGACGCCCCTCGCATACCTCACCCCCCTCTAACCATGGGTGAGTGCAATTATAATTTTGTAAATCGACGGAAGCTCGGATAAACATACGCAAAACGTTTGCCACCGCTGGCCGAAAAAGGATGGAAAAAAGAATGAACATGCTTGCCCCTCGGGCTAATGCGTTTTTGGATTGACGGCGCGAACACCGGATATTCGAGGGATACTCTTATGCTATAATGAGAAATTTGGGGTAACCAAAAATGGAAAGTAATTAGCATTTCTATAGAATTTCAAATCTATGGTGTATGAGAAAAGTTTATGGTCAAAGAGGAACCTTTTTCTTCCTTAAAAGTTTCATTAGCTAATGAAAACTAAAGATAGTTAATAACAATTTTAGATTTTTATTAAAAAGTTATATAAAAATACTTTAATCAGACCAATTTCAATATTATTTTAAAAGTTTTCCTACAATGATAAGCTGCTGAAACTATAAATTTCCTTTTCATATTTTTCGGATCCTATCAAAAGCAGTTGCCGCTGGAATTTCGAACGAACCCCTCCGTCTGACCTCTGCAAAAAGCAATCTAATCACACCCCCACACCCACTGCACACATGCCAGAAATTAAATTCAACGAGCAAACTTACACTGCGCTGCATACTTCAGCAACTGCCAATAAAGTGCTTGGCGTGAAGCAGCCAAAAAAACAAAAAAAAGGGCGAGAAAACTTATACTTCTTTTTCCCTGCTTTCAGCTTATACCGCGCTACACTTTCTGTTGCTTCGAGTGCGCTTATCAAAAGACACACAAGGCACTGACATGCATCCAAAAAAAAAAAAAAAAAGAATACGGAAAAATAAAATTTGAAGGGGTATGGCACTGGAATGGTGTGGAAAAGGAAAGCAAAGGGATGGAAGGGCGACGAAGCGGAGCGCGTAAGTTTTCCAGTTTTTTCTCCAGCGTCTTTACTTTGTGAGAAAGCGGGGAAAGAGGACTCTTTGCAAGTTCTGCATATGACTGCAGGCACGTCTTGAACCCATCGTGCCCCACGTCCCCGAAAACCTTCATGCAAGTGATGGGTGTAGGTGTGCGAGTGTAAGTTGATTTATGCCACTTTGTGTACCCACCATGCGTATGGGTATTCCTGCACTGAGAGAAATCTTTTAAAACTATTAGAAATCTTTAGGATAGGTGTTGTTTGTTAATCAGATAACATGTATGTATTAGATACAAATTTTTAAAGTTTTTTTGAGGCTTTCTGAGCTTAGGAAAGAAAGCAGTTTTTCAAGGCAAAGTTTATATTTCACTGGATACTTTTATCTCCTACCTTTTCCCCTCATTTAGACCACAATTTTTCCCCAGTGTATTGACTGTCTGTCTGTTTGCTGACTGCGTCTGTGTGTGTGTGTGTGTGTGTGTGAGGTCTGCTGCATAAATGATTTATGGCCAACTCTCGCGACAGTTTCGTTTCGCTTTCGTTTGCAGAGAGTGCAACAAAGGAGCCGCAGAGACGCAGATAGCCAGAGTGGAAACTGTCGCATAATAAATAATTATAATTGTATTTTTCTTTCCGTCTTCCCTTTGCTTTTGCTCGGTTCTTTGTCTTTTGGCTTTACCCTCGTAGGTGCCTCACACACGCATTAATAAACTTTATAAATATTTAAGTTGAGAGCAAGGTGACAGTGAATGGAAGTGCGGGTAATTGAAACCGCCGCAGATGCCGCAGATGTTGGCCAGGTGTTTTCCGAGCGCGGACAACTGATAATCGGTCGATTGAGAAGGCGGATTCAGGCATTTGGGAATGCCCTGTGGATGCCGCATGATCAACTATGTATTCTGGCCAGCTTCCTTTGGCCGGGCAACTGTTTCGAAACTCGATTGTGGGTCAAAGAGACAACAACAGGCCAACATCCGGCAACTTCAAAGTTTGAGCTTCCTGCTTAGCCACCCAAAAATCTTTGCTTCCCCCAGTTGGCCTTTTTCTGTTTTGTCATGAAAGCGAAATGCGCTTACAGGAAACGGGAAGTGCGCCTCATGCAACATTTATGGAGGGTCCACACTTCAGGGTCCCGCTTCCCATCTGCCCATCTAACACCCGGAAAAAAGACAAAAACTAACAATGGGTCGCCCCGAAACAAAAAGATACACCAGAGAACTTGACGCGTAAAAATTGTCACAAAGTGTAAATAGAAAATGAAATTGAAATGCCTCGCAGAGATTTAATTAAATTTCTGGCCAGTCGAGACAAACAACGAGTGGCCAAAAACTGCCCACAAAATACCCAGCACACACACACACACACACATATACATATATATATAAATCTATATTTATATATAAAAATATATATATTGGGGCTTGCAGTTTTGTTAGCCTGGTATAAATATTTGAAAAATCTTCGCACATAAATAATTTCGTTTAAATTGCATACATAATTTGCAGTAGGCAAATCGGTAAATATTTCAATATCAACAGCCATGAATTGGATTTCCTGCACACTCACTGGCTGTGCCAATCAACAAACAAGTTTTCGTAGACATCTCTCAATGATTCCATGTTGGTTAGCAACAAACGAATTTCTTCTGCCAATCGAAGTTTGCATTTTCCCCCATTGAAAGCTGATTGAAAATGATTTCGTTTATTTGTTAAATTTGATTTCTCGAGTATTAAATTCTTGGATCTCTGGCCGAAAAAGAGTGAAAGTCAGTATGCAGTAAAATAGAAAATAAATATTTTCAGAATGTGCAGGATAGGAAGAAAAGTTTGTATGCATTTACATGCATATCTGTATAAGTTTTCAGATTTAATAAATTCAATAACTAGTTGCAGTATAATAGAAAAACCAAAGTAACTTCTTATGACATTCCATTGTATCGTTTTTTTATTTATTACTACATTTTAAACAAAGAAAATTTAAGTCAACAAGTTGAGTAAAGTAAACTGTTGAACTGCATTCATCGTCTAACTTAAATATGCCTTTTGACTGGAGCTCGATAAACTGAGCAATCCGTTTCTATGAATTTAATATGCGTGCGGCCTCGCCACGGGCACGGAATATTTAATAAAAACCAATAAACGTTAAAAGCCTTTCCAGTGGGCCGTGGCCATAAGCCACCTGCCAAACCAGGTCGACCAAAACCAACTGACCACGATCCTCGCCCGTGATGGTCCTCACCCTTCTCCTACTCCCTTTTCCCCTGCCTTCTCTTCGGTGTTCCTGTACCCCTTCCAGGCTGGCTATGCGCCCGATTAAATGCATTTAAATGTGTTTTCATCATAATTATGCATATGCAAACATGACTCGACCAGTGGCCACTCTATCGTTGAATCCCAGCCCCACCACCATTCATTCGACTGCCTATAGCCACGGCCATATGCCATGTCCTGGGTTTTCCGGCAGCTTAAGTGCTTTAATGGCTTTAATTATGTTGCATGCAATTATTGTCCATGTCCCGGCAAGAATGATCTTCATCATCGGCTTAATAATGATGCTGCTTCTGCTACTGCAGCTGCCGTTGCTGCTGTTCGGAAGCTCCTGGCCACGACCAAATGCAGCAAAAATTATATAATTAATATATGAAAAGCAAAATGGATGATGAAGCTCCTCAACTCCATCCCCGATTCATCTGATTTACGTTTATGTAGGAAGAGAAAAAGCAGATGCTGCGCTTTGCTTTTGAGCATAAAATTCAATCGCTAAATTATGCAAATATTCCGCAACTGCGACAATCGGTTGGCTCATGTTACGTATACGCAATGCTGGACGGATGAGGCCTCAAAATGTCTCGATTGCGTGCGTGTGTGTTTGGTTGTTTGCATGCGTAAAGAGGTCGCCGAGTTCATCGATGACGATTTTACTGCAATTCCGTTCCCGTTACCCGATTTTTGGCGCAGATGCAAGAAAGGCACACAAATCCAACGGGGTGAGGTGTGCATATTTATAGAAGTTGAATGCCAGAAGAGTCCAACGCCACAACGACATAAAAAAGGCACGGGGTTTCGAGGTTTCAGGGTCTTTCGCTGGTTTTCCTTTTCCCGATTGATATGCCCCCTAATAGACGGGTCAAAGGGTATACAGCATTGAAGGAACAGTTTATATTGCCTAAAGTTATCATAATCAGAGAGTCCTTTAAACTTTTTTATAATAATTTTCAAGTCTATATCATACAAATGTTTTTAGAATTTAAAGTTTAATGGGCAGTTCTTATAGCTCTGTACTCAGTACTGAGTATTTCACCATCGAAAGCCTTTCCCTCCGACAAACTCTTAGGTTTTTTCCCCGATTTTTTGGGCATCTCTCCGGTTCGCTTAGCCGTCAGTTTTTGGGGTCGCACAGCAATTTTATTTCGCCGACGTGACAAACGCAATCAGCGTCAGTCATATGTGTAAAAATGTTTTCCGCTTTATGCGTGTATCTCGGCTTTGCATGGAAATTGCAAAGCCAAAATATGGCCTAGACTACGGACGCTGATGGGTTTGTACGAGTACAAACTTCAACCTTAGCCAGCTGGATTGTCTTTAACTTTGGCCCACCTTGTCTAGCCCGATTCGGTGTCCCTCATTAGCTTTTCCATTCATCCAAAACCTAATTTGCTGCATGCCAAACTAACAAAAAAAAATCACTTTACTCTTTGGCTCCTTTTGCTTTGGCTTTGCTGGTGCTTCTGCCACGCAGAAACTACTTTCAAGTCCTTGCTTTTTCGACTGCCTGCCATTTGGCCATTTGGCCGCAGGAGTCGCACATTGAGTTAATTAAAGTTGTACATGGTAGGCGCAATCAGGGCGAGAACAAAAAACACATGTGACCATGTCGGTGTGTGTGTGTGTGCGCCTGAATGTATGGGTGTGAATGTATGTAGTGTGTGAATGTGTGTGTGTGTGGGCAAGGGAAAAGGCCAAAACAAATTGCCAAAGTCAGAGAAGCAACGTAGAACTTTTTTTTGAGGGCTGAGAGCAAATGGCAATTTATAAAATCCTTTGAAGTGTCGAAAATCAGTAATTGTAGTCAAAGTGCAAATTGATTGCCAGTCTCTCTCCAACACACACACACACACACACACACAAACTAACACACACATACATTTTCTCTCTCTTGTTCACTGTGTTCGTTCCGAAAAATCAGTGTGGCAGACATGTTTTATTGAGTGTAATTTGTAGTTGCAAATTAATGGCCGCACTTCACTTTTAATTAAAATGCATCAAGAAGAGAACTAGAACGAGGCAGCCAAGGGACAGCTTAAAAGGGATGTGAACACAGTCTCACTCTATGACTAAAATTCAATTTCAATAAAAATATCAAATTTACCAGCTTTGACTAAGTTAATAAGTAGGTATCAAGTTACTTTGTTTATATTGGTGATTGCCTTAAGTTTTTTGAGTAAGTTTGTCTACTGACAAATCAACTTTCTTGTTACCTTATAGCTTACTCCAATCTTACTAAGATTTTTAATATCCTGAGATTACTCCTTTTTAACATAGCTTTTTGATAGCTTACTTCCTGCACCTTTACCTTTGCGAGTTGAAAAAAAGCAGTCTTTCACTTTGGTTAAAAGACTTTCCATTCAACATATCTCTGAGCTGTGAAAGCACTGAAACTTTTGCCAGTTTCCCGTGAGAGGGCCTGTCTGTTAATTCCAACCACGTCAATTTTCCTCCATCAGCTCCTTTGACGCCTGTTGCACGGACGGGCCGTTAAAGGATGCAACTGCAGCTGCCTCGAAGTTTTGAATAAATTTTCGCCATTTGCCGGCGGCAACAGCGGGAACAACAAGGCGCTGTTGTTGCTTCTCTGCGTCTGTGCCGCAAGGACGCGAACGAGGACATCGAGGCATCATCAATTTTGGTTTGCGAGACTCATCAATAAAACATAACAGCAGCAAATGGAGACACATGCGACAATGCACATGCAAGCGTCCAAGGGATATGGATACTGATGCGTCAAGGACCCGGCTCTTGATTCCCTCTGCAGCTGCTGCCAGTCCTCAGATAAAAGCTTCGTCCCCTGATTTGGTCAACAAGTTTCCACTTCCACAAAAAAACCAATATTCATTTTGTCCCTGTATAAATGTTGGAAAAGCATTGCCATAAAAATGATTTAAGGGTACAATTTTCCTGGCCTTAACTGCCTTGATACTATGGCTACACCTTTGTCACTATCTGCCAAATCTCGTTTCACACATGACCCATTCCTAAGGTTTGAGTTCAAGCTCTGAGCCCCTCTTCATAAGCCAACTAGAGGGTATAAAAAAAACTTTGGCAAGGAAGAGGAATGATCTTGTCAACACCCTTGGGTCAACCTAACCAGCTTGTCTCCATTCCCGAGTCATTGGCCTTAGGCCAGAAAAGTCTCCACTCTAAGCAGCTGAATTTAATCTTTATTTCAGCTCGAACTTTTTGGCTTAGTCCATGATAATAGTAACGATGGGTATGTGCATCAGCTTGACCGCAAATCCAAGCAGACCCATGAGGAGGAATCCCACACCAATGGCGGAACTAATGCGCTGGAACTCCTGGCGATCTGGTTTGGTGCAGCGCTTGTAGAAGCGCAAGGAGTTCTTATAGAAATGCGAAGAAGGCAGGACGCAAGTCAAACGATCTATAATCTGACGTCCCACGGCTACCAAGGATTTGTACTTGAAATTCGGTGTGAACTTACAGAGACCCCTGGGTGTTTCAGAGATGAGATTTATATTAAAATAGTACGAGATGGTATATTTACCTCTTGGCACTTTTGAGCCGGAATCGACGTCGACGGGAAAGTAGTTGCTCCATCTTAAAGTTGGAAATTAGAAATTGATATCTTTGGCTTTCTACACAGCAGAAACTTATTTGTGCCTGAGCATTGAACTAATACCGACGGCCTGTTGAGATCGACATGAAATTCGGTCCTAATAATTGCCAGCTGTTGTACCGAACATAGCCGCCGGCGATGGCACATGCAAAATGTGGCAACTTCAAATGGAAAATACTGCCCGGTTTACACACATAATCAAACTTTACGCAAACTGTTTGCCCGTACCGGACCGACATACACACGACTACCAACATTTTCGACTAGTTTTGCTACTCATGCTGAACAGAATTTGTTAAGGAGAGAGAGTGGTAGACCCGGGGAAGGGAACTTAAATGCTGCAATTTGTTTCACTGCCGAATCGTTGCTGTCTTCACTTGAAGCTTAACTAAATGCACAGGGAGCCAGTCCGAAAATTCTCCAGCTCCAGCTCTAAGCCAAAAATTACCCCCTCGTTCTACACATTTTGCATCTATCTCTATCCATCTCGGTGCGTGGAGAGGTGGCTGTTGTTGCTACGATTTGACAGCCTTGGCTTCAGAGATCCCCAGGACAATTCACTGCAAAATTGGTAGACAAAACTGTGCCACAACGGGCTCCGGACGGGCTCCTCTTCTGCTCTGCCATGTATATAATTACACAGAGAAAAATGTCTCTAGAAATAAGAAAAATAAAGTTGACTGCTTAACATGGTTAAATTTCCTGGTATTTTAATTTTATCAATAAGTTTGTAAATAAATTTATCCATATTTACTTACTTCTTTCAATCAAGAATGTTTGATGCCCTCAGTACAAGTGGATTTAAGTGTTATATGTTCCTATCGTAAGTGTAAACTATTTGTGGTTAAGTACTTTTCCCGCAGTGTAAGTATACGGATATGAATGTGGCATCGCCATCGCTTGTGTGCCTGTGTTTGTGGATATTTATGATGGTGTGCGTGCTTGCCGTTTCAGGCATTGCCATTGAGATTGAAAAATGTTAAAAAATTGCTTTTAAATGCCGCAAAATACAATTTATTATTCAACAGAGGCAAACGCCAAACACTGAGCACAATGTGCGCCCAGGGAGAGGGCGTGTATTCCCGGCCCCCTTTTCAGGGATTGTGTTTGGTGGGTGTGGGCCAGAGGGGCGGGGTCAGAGAGCGGGGCATGACCAGTGTGCGTAGGAAAGCTCAACAGTGCCGACTGCTTGGTTGTAAATTTAAATAAAGCCCACTTACACACACATACACAGACACAGACTCATAGGGGCGATTGTTACTGCAGTTGTTTTGTTTATTACGCATACGCACTGTGCGCCAGCCATTGAAGTTGGTCATGAAGCGCAACGATGCCAGCGGACTTACTCCGTTCTTGGGATCAACTGTAAGGGATTTTAAGGACGCACTTTAAGAGGCAGCCAAACTATGATACCGAATGGGACCCATTCCTCTATAATTCACTACAAACTCGCACGCAAATTCGTCTCATTTTATTGGCAATCCAAAAGCAGTTAACACACTTTTGTGTTAGACTAATTGTGGATCAGAGCGGCATCTTGGTTTCGAACTTTTTTTCGTCTCTTTTTTCTGTTTGCGGTGGCACTTGAACAATTTTCCATGTGCTCCAAAAACTTTGGCAATAAAATTTGTTTCAAATTGCTTTCGAAAACCGCTCGAAAAGGGACATCGAGGGAAGTGAATGAGACGAGGAAGATGGCCAGCACATCCGGCGTATTCTCTCCCTCTCTCTCTCTCGCTCCGTAGAGCTCCAAAGTTGTCAGCGGGCGAATGACCAAAGTGCACCCAGAGGGCCAAAATAAATATCAAATATATTGAGAGGAGCGGGCGAGCCAGTCGCGCAAAAGTTAATTACATTGTGTTAACCGGGGGGGCTGGGCCAAGGCCTAATTTTGTAATTCTCTTTCTGAATCATTTAACCATGAAATTGCCTGCCCTGCCACGCCCACCACCACCACCGACCGACCAGTCGTCGGTCGTCGACTGCTGCCCCATTCTGCGTCAGAGGACTAACCAAATGATAACCCACAACGCATTTGCTCCTCATGGATGTCAGTCCAAATGTGCAAAATTAGCCTTTCAACTGGCAGTGGCACGCCCCCTTATCATCGTCATTCCATCGGGACGCCTTCAGACCAGACCCACTCTAGCCGTACCCCCTGCTCCTCAAAATCCATTTCAATTGGCCCCAGGGCAACCACCATGTTGACAGCTGGCACGCAATTTATAATGAAAAGTTTCCACTCGCCCATTTTGAAAGCTGGGGCTCACCTATTCCGATATTTTCATTATTTGTGTTTGCTTTGTATTTTGAGTTTTATAAATCATGTTCTGTAAAGATATTAATGCAATTAGCAATGCCAGAGAGATCCCGCGGGAGTCGAGTTTGAATGCAGGTCGAGTCTGGAGGAAAGGGTCTAGTTCCCTGATTAATTTTCACTGTCTTTTGATGTATAAGCTACTTTGGCCCCAGGCTGTTCTCTGAAAATTTAAGTTCAAATGGCAAGAGTAAAGAAATTAATTAAATTTCAACCACTCTTAATCAAACAGAGCCCGCAAAAGAACCATTGACGGAGATGTAAAAATCCTTACAAACTTAAACCAAACTTAAAACTTAAGTTTTGGGAATGTTCCGTTTGTAAGGAAGAACAATCCTGCAACAGACAACATATCAAAACGATGGCATTTTGTGGCCCTGGCCAAAATGAAAACCCATCAGGGAAGGCAACCAACATAAAGATATAAAACCTGCGCAATGATTGCCAAAAACGGGACAGCCACAGCCATTACCAATTTTTGTGCTTAACGCTTCAGCGAGCAAATCACTGGCACAGACAGAGAGACATGGCATAGATATACGGATACGGATACAGATGCCGATGCAGATGTAGATGCAGCTACAGATATATAGACAGATACAGATACAGATACAGATTCTGATTCAGATTCAGATATAGAGACAGAGCCAGAGGAACAGTCATAGTTTTAGTTCCGTTTGCCGTCCTTCTACTTATTCCATCAGCATGTCATCATGGCAAATCAGAGGACATGCAACATTGCATAAAGATTTGTCACAGCTCAGGCTTCTAGTTTTCCACCCGGGAAAAATGGCAGGCAGCAGGCAGCAGGCAACCAGAGGCAGGGGGAGCACAACAACCGATGGAAAACTTTTCCAGGCCAGGAAGTCTAAGAGGGGGGAACGGGGTTTAGCAGCTCAAATCGCATTTTCGCATGCTCAAATGGGACAAACTGTGCTGGAGACCCGGATGCGAATGCGGATGCGGATGAGGATGCCGAATCCTGAGCAACTTGCTGCAAATTCAATTTCGTCTAGCTCGATTGCATTGCAGCACATTGCTCGAAATTCAACTCCAGCTCCAACTCCGGCTCAAACTCCGAATCCAACTCCACAACCACACCCATTCTCATACCCATTCCCATTCCCATTCCCATCGATTCGCATTGCATTTCAATATATAAATATTTATACACAAGCGAATTTGTGCACAGCTGAGCGCCCTGCCATGTCACACTGCACTGTGAGATTTGCAGCAGCCAGCCTGATAAAGGGCCAAATTCCCAGGGCAATCGGGGTCTATTTTTCACAGTGCAAGTGCCGCTGTTAAAATGAAGATATATGAAGCTGTAGCGAATCGCCTTTCACGATCCCGGGAAGAGTAATGGTCATGTTGTACCGCCGATGTAGCTGCATCTGCTGTTCGAGCTGCCCCGAAATCGTTTAGTTTCGCTTTGGCCCTCTTCCTCTCGCTTTCTCTGGGGGATTGCCTAATTCCCTTTATTACAAGCTCTATCCCGACATTTGATGTCTGCCTTTCGTTGTATAAATCATGGCTAAGCCCTTATGACATATGCTAAAATTTAATTCCCCACCAAAAGCCCAACGTTTTTGTTTAGCCAACGCGTGACAAAATGATTAAACGGTTGGGGACTCTGGTATCCTCTTCCTTTCGGCCCATTGTTCCGGCCATGACATTGCGAAATTGCTGATGATGTTAACGATGCGATTAGATGAGTGGATATTTTCCAGGCAGCGTGTGTGTGTGTTGAAGATTCAACCTGTGGCAGTCGCTCAAAGTGGCAAAGTGCTCTCGGGCAAAGTTTTCCTGAAATTTGAATATTTAATGGGGATAATTTGTGCCCGATTTTTAAGCCATTAGCGACTTGGGATAACTCAAAAGTTGCCGCTGCTTAAAGAAAAATGTGTGTTCGTGGTCTCGGGAAAAAGTTTCTATCAAAGATTAAGCCACATCAAGTGCCATTAAGTCAACCCCAAACACGGCCCCGAATTCAATTTAATATCGAATTGAGCCAGCTTTATTTCCGCTTCAGCCGCATGTGCACTACACTGGAGTGCAATTTGTGGTGCACTTAACCATTTCATATGCTAATTATGGGCTATAAATTTGCTTCCTGGCCGTAAATCGTTCAGCTTGCTGCGACTTTATGTGAGGGTCATAAAAAAGCGCTAGACCGCTGAAGGAGAAGATGTTGGCTCATCCTTATTGGCAAAGTTTTTCCAGGTGCTCCTGCTGCTGCTTCTGCTCCTGCTTCAGTTTCCCGCTCAGACCAAACTATATAGACAGACAATTTCCTTATGAAATGAAAATAAACATGACATTTCTGGGTTTATGTACTTTTGCAGCTGTGTCTTTGACTTGCCTCCGGCTGCTGGTTTTCCCGGCATCTGGCTTCCATTTCAGCAGCGGCTAGGCCAAAGGCCCAAAACCACTGAGAATCTGCCTGGATCCTAGTTCCTGGTCCCCTGCTCCACGCCCTGCTCTGCTAACATGGCTATGACTGCTATAAAATGTCATCTTTTATTATGGCAAAGGCTCAACTGGCGCAGACTGCGCCTAGACTAAGGCGGAATCAGAGATGTTCCTCCCCCTCTCACTCTTTAGAACAGATTCTATACCAGAAATAGTGGCAAACAATGCTCCTCCGTCCGACCACGCCCCCAAATGTCTCTGCCTTTATATCCAGTTTACACGCTTCGCTACACATTTTCC